ATTCAAGCCAAACTCCCAAAAAAAAGAATAATGGACTGACCAATTGAAATAATTGGCCTACTGCACCTTCCCCACTTTTTTAATCCTTCCGCACCTGCCACAAAAAAAAAGGAAAAACAAACCCCAAAAAATGGGCTGACAGACACGGCCCAACCCCCTTTTTATTGTTTTCTTCTTCGATTCAATTAGGGCGGCGGCGGCGATGGCTTTGGAATTTGGCGGCTGGACTGCCTTCTGCACAGCCTATCCAACGGTGATGCGTTCTGGACGGCGGCTGCGCTCCCCGCTCGACGCGGCTTACTGCACGCGGATGGAGATCTGGTTCGACGGCGACGGCGTTTGGTGGCGACTCCTCTGCGGTGGCGCCTGGACGGATTAGCAGTTGCTCCACTGCACGCGGCTGACGGCGAGACGGAGGGCGGCAGCACCTCCACGCGGCGGCGGCTCCTTCTGCCGCTGCTCCTGTGTGCGGCGGTCTGTACGCAAACGGCGGCGGCGATCCTCGCGGCGACGGTGGAAAGACCCAGCGGCGACGATCTGATCTGACAGCGGCGGCGCGATCTGAAACGGCGTGGCTTCGCGACGGCTCCTCAACCTGGCGGCAGCTCCTTCGCTGCTCCGGTCCACCTCTGCTCGAACCAGCGGCAGTAATCTCCTTCACAGCGGCGCAGATCTGCAAACCTAGGCGACAAATTTTCTCACAATTTGTGTTCTCGTGTTGTACAATTAGTTAGTCTCTGATACCACTTGTTGGGAATTAAACACACAACACACACAAATATCTGCGAGAAACGAGAGAAAACGGAACACAAACGACACACAAGAATTTAACGTGGTTCGGTTTCCCTAATCCACGGCTGCAACAGGAGGAATTTCTTATTCACTTGTGGTGTCAATTACAAGTACAAGTATGCAATATATATATAGGAAGAGTGCATCTAGGGTTTCGTAACATGAGTCGGGCCAAAAGTCAAGCCCAAGCCTCCACAAACCCAACAATTGGGCCGTCTTCCTCTACCTGCCATATGCGTAATAACGGGCTCGGCCTGTATCTCCATCTGACATTATTCCTTTTGGGCTATTATGGGCCTTTATTTAGGCCTGGAATCGGACCCACCAGACCCCATATCCATCAGACGTTCCATATAATATTTTAAGTATTGTTTTTAGGCGCACTAGAAACACTTCTATGGAGAAAATTGAGAAATGCATGCAATGTTTTGAAAGGGTATAAAAACTTATGTTACTTCTAAACCAGTCAAGTCGATCACTAGATTGTAGCATATGTTTGGATGAGAAAAAAGAAAATAGAGAGGAAAGAAAATGAGAAGAAAGAAAATAGAGAGGAAAGAAAATGAAGAGAAAATAGAAGGAAAATAATGGGTGTTTGGATAGATAGAAAATAAAGAGAAAATAAGATGGAAAGAAAATATTCATTTTCTTTTCTTTGTTTGTTTGAAGTGAAAAGTGGGAAGAAAAAAAGTGATGGAACAAAAAAAGACAATTTTGCCCTTGGGAAAAGTCAAGATAAAGGGCAAAAAAGTAAATTTCAAAGTTTTCTCCTCTCCTTTACAGTTTTCTCTTCAATTCCAGAGAGAAAATTTTGAAGGGAAAAGTCACCCTCAATTTCTTTCCTCTTCCCATTTTCTTTTCTTTCCAAACAAGAAAATTTGTATTGGGATTTGTGTTTTCTTTTCCTCCATTTTCTTTCTATCCATTTTCTCTCCTTCCAAACAAAGCAGTAGTCTAGTTAATTTTTATTAACAGCTCCCAAACCAATCAATAGTGTTAGCTCGAATCAGATCTTTTTTTTGGTATTATATAAATTAAGAAATTCGTTTTACCAAAGAAATCATTTACTTTTCTACCGTTTAAAGAAATTTATTTTACCAAAGAAATGACACTTTATTACCGTTGTCATAGATCAAATTCAAGTATTAATGCTTTAGCACTACCTAATTAAGAGCTAAATTATGGCCCAGGGCCTTTTTCCCATTAATTAAGGGATTGAAATTGAGATATTAATGTTGGAGGGGATTTGATGGTTAATGAATGTGTTTCCCCCATGCTAAGCACATTTGTTCTTGTCTTTATGTCTCATTCCTCTTTAGTTGGGCCCATCTCAAGCCTTACGGTCATGATGGAAGCTAGACTAGACTCGACATGGACTCAGTCCACCCGGCCCAAGACCGAAAGCTTGACTACTTACTCCGTGTCTCCGTCCCAAATTAATCCGCTCATTACTATTCTCACCATTTATAATTTTTTACTCCGTATTAAACTAAAACTTTACTTTCAAAAAAAAAAAAAAAAAAAACTAAAACTTTTGTCAAATTTTGTTTTATAAAAATTTTTGATATAATTAACATATTTTATTCAAAACAGAGCCGTAGTATTATGTGACGATAAAATATAATTTTAAAAGCTCTCAATACAACAAATCCTATAAAGTCATTTTTATATTAAAATACATTACCGTTTTTATTTGATTGAAGTTCAAAATTTGTTCAGTTTGACTCGAAAAAGTCAAATCGAATAAATACATTGGACGGAGAGAATAATTTACTTTCCATATTTATCCCTAATAGTATACTCCTTCAGAGTGTGTATTCGTCTAGTATGATTTTTTTAAATAAGTATTTATCCAATTAGAATTTGGTTCGGTTGAATCAGTTCTATCGACCCAACTCGATAGGGGCAAAAACGTACAATCACCGTCGCTTAGGGACGTGACACGTGTACGCTCTTGATTTGATGTAACCCCACTCCAAACGGCTCTCCGCTGCTCCCTGTCTCCCACTATCCCTTCTCCTTTCTCATTTTCTTCCTTTCCTTCTTGCCTGGTTCCATCAATGGAGTTTCTGAACCTTTTCTTCTGCTTCTCCATTGTCTTCCTTTCGAGCTCGTCCATGTCCGCCGCGCCTCCTCCGGCTTCAGATGCGGAGATTCTTCTCCAGAAAATCAGACCCGCGCTGCAGGGGGAGGCGCAGAACTTGATGCTGTCTTCATGGAACGCCTCGATCCCTCTCTGTCAATGGAGAGGCCTCAAGTGGGCTTTTGTGAACGGGAGCTCTCTGCTCTGCGAACCCATGTCTTCTCCGCAATGGGTCAGTCTCTCTCTCCGCAGCGACCCTTCTCTCCGCCTCGTCTCCCTCCAGCTCCCTTCCGCGAATCTCTCCGGCACCCTCCCGGGAGAGATTTCCGAGCTTCCGGCGCTCCGCGGTCTCTATCTCGGCGTCAATTCCCTCTCCGGAGCCGTCCCTCTGGAGCTCGGCTACGCCCCTTCTCTCTCCGATCTCGAACTGAGTGGCAACTCCATCGCCGGACCTCTCCCGGCGTCCATCTGGAACCTCTGCGACCGTCTCGTTTCGCTTCGTCTTCACGGTAACTCCCTCTCCGGCTCTCTCCCCCGCCCCGAACTGCCCAACGTCACCTGCGAGCACTTGCAGGTTCTCGATTTAGGTCAAAATTCGTTTTCCGGCGATTTCCCGGAATTCCTAACCGCGTTCGCCGCGCTCGAAGAGCTCGACCTAGCTCAGAACAACTTCTCCGGGCAAATCCCTCCCGGATTGAGTGAGATGAAACTCCAGAAACTGAATCTCTCGTACAACAATTTCAGTGGAGTTCTGCCCAATTTCGACCCAAAGAAATTCGGGGCAGAGATTTTCCAGAAGAACAGCCCGGACCTCTGCGGGCAGCCTCTGAAACCCTGTCTCGGACACACCGGGCTGGCCCCAGGGGCTATAGCTGGGATTGTGATCGGATTAATGGCCGGAATGGTGGTTATAGTATCATTGCTGATAGGGCATTTCCAAGGGAGGAAGAAGAAAAGAAACACTGACGAAGACGAAGAAGAAGATGACGAAGAAGAAGACAGAGGAGAAAACAAAGATTTTGATGGAAATGGGGCAGAGGGGAAGCTGATAGTGTTCCAAGGTGGGGAGCATTTGACACTGGACGATGTTCTGAACGCGACAGGGCAGGTGATGGAGAAGAGCAGCTATGGAACCGTGTACAAGGCGAAGTTGGCCGATGGTGGGAACATCGTGTTGAGGCTGTTGAGGGAAGGGAGTTGTCTTGAGAGAAGTTGCAGTTTCCCGGCGATCAAGAAGCTTGGGAGGGTTCGCCACGAGAATCTTGTCCCATTAAGAGCTTTCTATCAGGGGAAGAAAGGGGAGAAGCTTCTCATCTATGATTATTTCCCTTGCAGAACTCTCTTTAGTCTCTTACATGGTAAGCTCCCTTTACTCCCAATAACACTTTCTTGCATAGTCATAAATTCTTGCAGTTCTTGATGGAGCTCAAGCATCATTTTTGTAAGGAAACTAACAATGGGTTGAAATTGTGAAGAAGAAAAAAAAAGTTATTAACACATGGCAATTGGCATTGGTTGCTTGCTAGCTTGATCATTCAACATTCTATTTCTGTTTAATGCAAACTACTAACACAATAGAGATACAGCTCTTGATAAGCATTTGTGCTATTTCATTGACTGAAGAGCACAATTTTCACTTTTTTTTTCTTCATGTTTTCTAGTACTTTTTAAGGCTTTGTTTGGCTTATTTTGTTTGTTCTGGCTAACACTAGGATAAGTGGTTTTTGACTCACTTGCCTGTAATCTACTACACATTATTTTACCAAACTCTGCCATTTACTCAAAATAGCATTCTCCCAAAACAGCCCTAAGTTGTTTGACACCTCACATTTTGCATACCTTACCAAACTCTACTTGTCTTTTTTTTGTTGTTGTTGCATGTATATATGTAAGAAGTGTGATAGGGTTTGCATATACATAATCTTTGCTGTTGATATACAGAAGCAAAGGTGGGGAAGCCAGTGTTGAACTGGGCAAGGAGGCACAAGATTGCCCTTTGTGTAGCAAGAGGACTAGAGCATCTTCATTCTTTAGAAACACCCATCACCCATGGAAACATCAGGTCCCAAAATGTCCTGGTGGACGACTTTTTCGTGGCCCGGCTCACGGAAGCCGGGCTTGACAAGATCATGATCCCATCCATTTCAGAACAGACACTCTCCCTCTCAAAAGCCGACGGGTACAAGGCGCCCGAACTTCAAAAGATGAAGCATTGCAGCTCAAGGACCGACGTCTACGCGTTTGGGATACTGTTGTTGGAGATGTTGTTGGGGAAGAAACCTGGGAAGAGTGCGGAAATGACCGATTTGCCCTCGCTGGTGAAAGGCGCGGTTTTGGAGGAGAGAACGATGGAGGTTTTCGACGCGGAGGTGTTGAAGGGGGCGAGGAGTCCAATGGAGGAAGGGCTGGTGCAGGCATTGAAGCTGGCCATGGGGTGTTGTTCCCCCGTGGCCACGGTTCGGCCTTGTATGGAAGAAGTGGTGAGGCAACTGGAAGAGAATAGGCCTAGGAACCGGTCGGCTTTGTATAGTCCTGCCGAGACAAGGAGCGAGAGTGGTACTCCTATATGACATTATTTATATATGACCCTTTTATTATCTCTTTCTGATATTATTGATTTTGAATTAGAGAGTGTATGATTTTTTAGGCAAACTGGTGATCCTTCCTTCTCCCAAAGGAGAGTTAATTAATTTCATCTCAACTTTTCCCTAGCTCTCTCAAGTAGAATTAATTTAATCTCAACATTTATTGTGTCATGGTGATAAGAGACATTTTTTCTGTTTCTAATGGATAATCTAAGAATCTTTTATTTTCCCGGTAAAAAAAAAAAAGAGCCCCATCCCAGAATGCTCCTTTAGATTCTGTCAAACGGTCACTAAGAGGAGGTATATTGGACTTTAATTACAGATTGTTGGCGAAGAGTAGAGCTTGCACCTGATACGAGGCTCTATGTTTAGCATAGTTTCCCCCATCGCAGTTGACAAGAATCCAACGCGGGTCTATCCCTTGGCACTTCCTTCCTTTAAATTAAATAACAAAAAAGCTAGATGACAATCATAGATGACTCATACAAACAAACGGACAATAATCGTCTATGAAAACAGATAATTATTGTCTATGTATGCATAAAATTACATGTACCTCATCTGTAGAGGCAACCGTGGTGGGTTCCTAACATGATTTATCAAATAACTGTTTAGGAATCAAATGAACGGGATATAATTTTTGTCCAATGTACATAGAAAATCATAATACTCCCTCCGTCCCCCATAGATCTTCCCAATAGCCATTTTTCTTTGTTCACAATAGATCTTCTCATTTCATTTTTTAACAATTAAAATACCACAACTACCCTCATTTCTCCTTAAAAACCACCAAAAGTCAAAATGAGAACATCTTAGAGGAACGGGGGGAGTAGAATGTTATTTGAAAACAAAGGGAATACCATATTTTCCAAATAACACTTCATTTGTCTAGATGTGTTATGTTTGTCCACCTTTTTTTGCCGGATCAATATTTTTGTTCGCTTTCTTTATTTGACAAATTCTTTATATATAAATTTGAGACTCATAATTGTAAAAAGCCTGAGCTAGTGTGCGTGTCGGGTAAGGATTGGCCTTACATACAGTAATAGTATCAGTACCAGTATATGGATGAGGAGATAGATGCTACTAATAATCATACGTAACATGTGTTAGTGCTGGTGTCTAGGTACCAATCTCCAGATTGATTGCTTATAGATGCATGCATCACATGAAGCACTGGTTGAAGATTTCACAATTTAAGAGTTATCGAAACAGTACCAACATGGTGAGATCGAATGTCCTCTTTTATCACAAATCTGATATGTAGGATGGAACATCTCGTGATGGTTGACCATATCCTGGGGACGGTCGACTATTGTTTTGATCGCCTCGAGAATTGCTATAGCCGCGACCAGAGACGGCGACCGCGATAGCCTCCTTGCCTCGTCCTCGACTGTCTTTAGCAAGAAGGGCATTATGCGGCTCTTCATAGGAATAATCAGCTAAATTCAGCTTTTGGTCCATCTCAATGTTAATTTCCTCTAGAGTAAGCCACCTATAAAGCTGATACAGAGTGATGTCGCTGTTTTGCAAACTAATAATTTGTTTGAATGAAAAATATTCGGTGGGGAGACCACGAATAACATCATTGACGGCATCTCGCTCAGGAATATGTTCATGTAAAGCTTCAAGATCAGCAAGAATTGTAGCGACTTCATCAAGGTACTTAGACATGGATTTGGTACCTTTGCGCGAAGTTGATAAATATGGGTGGTGGAAACAGAGTTATACCTCTTGTTGCTAATGCGTCCCAAAAGGAGGGAGAAGTGGTGAAGCCACTGGCATGTTTATGGACGGCAGGGCTGATGATGGCGAGAAGACATGCCCTGAGTAACAATGATTGTCCAAGAAGAAAAATTAGGATTTGGAGTAACAACCCCGTCTTTTAGGATAGTCTTACATGGACTTTTCTCGGACCCATCCATCAGTTAGTATTAGAAACTAATTTCATTTAGGTTGTGCATCGCACGGGGTAAAATGACAAAGCAAAATGGAACAACAAGCTGATTAAGTATATATATCTCATTACATCATCATGTCATGTCTCAAGTATAATTAATAAGGATAACACAAAAAGAGGAAGAAAAAAAGAGTAGGTCTTAACTACGTAGTATTGCAACGTATCGAGAAATGAAACAACAATCCGGTAGTATTACAACGGTATCGAGAAATTAAACAACAAACGTAGTACGTGCCCAGTTGATGAGCTAGAGCGAGGCACGTCGATTGAGAGGGCCAGAGTTTAACATGGAGTTCCCGGGGAACACCTAAGAGCACCGGCATTAGCGGTGATGATAGGCACCTGTAGACATGACCTTGCCCCCAAACTAGACGCCCTTGCATAGATATTGGCCGCTTGGTTCCCCGTGGTGGGGAAGTATGCCCCATTGAGCATTAGGTCTCCTTCTGATCTCCAGTTCCACGTTTTATACACACTCTCTGGTGCATCGTTCTCCTTTGTCACCTGCATATTTATATATGTGTGTGCATTATCATTCATACTATATACTCTTATCCATCTACACTATGCATTTTTTTTAAAAGAATTATATAAGGGGTATAAAAGACTTTGTTTGGTTGTGCTAGTTCGTTTCAGAGCCTCTTTTTTAGAACTGAAAAATAAAGAGCTGGATGTTGGAAGAAAACTGGAAGGAACTGTAAGAACTGTGAGAAACTGGAAAGAACTTGAAGGAATGGCAAAGAACTGGAAGAAATTTGAAGTTAAGAGTCCAAATCCTAAAAAACAGGCTTATTGATCAAGGCGGGCTCAACTCAACCCTTAAAGTCAACTCCTAGAGTTTAGACCCCCATATTGGTGTACACGATCGATATGGGATGAGTATATATAACTCAACAAGGTTACGAGTTCGAAATTCAATGTTCATCAAATTACTACGTGTAACAACAACAACAATTCAACTGAGTAGAAGCCCACGAAGTTTGACTAGGTATATAAAAAAGACTAACTTTGCCCTTCTTTAATTTCTCCCTCTAAAATCAAGTTAAGTACACATATATACTCCCTCTATCCATCCCTCTATCCAAAATTAATTCTCCTTATTTTTTTTGGGTTGTCTCAAACTATTCTTTTCTTTCTTTTTTTGGAAAGCTTTTTGTAGCTCATCTTTTTCTCTTGTTTGCATCACTTTCAGCCACACAATTTCACGTTTCTTAAATTCCGTGCAATGTCAAACTAGGAATATTAATTTGAAAGAAAGGGGGAGTATGCACACACACACACATAGTCCCTCCGCCCAACAATAATATTCCCGTTCACTATTCATATGGTCGAACTTTATTCATTTTGTTTGCGTATTTTCGTTGCCTACGATTTTTTATTTTTTTTTAAAATGACTTGAAAAAGTTAAGTACACATATATACTCCCTCTATCCAAAATTTTTACGTATTTTTTTTAATTCCATACGATTTTTCATATAAAATAATTTGAAAAAAATAACTTCAGTCGAATATGGTATCGCTTGGAGGGAGGGAGGGAGGAAGTAAAAATACGTACCTTTTTGAAAAAACGGGCGTCAGGGGCAGTGAACCTGTTGCCCTGGGAGTTGATGGTGGGATTGGCACTGCCGCCGATGGCATACATCCCCCAGTGGGTATAGTCATTGTTGACGACATGAAAGTAGCCAAGCCTGCACCGTGGCATCCTCTGCACCAGACCTTCTCCGAAGTGGTTGAAGGCTATGGTCACCTGCATGTCCCTGTCTGCGAGGTAACCATCGCTGTGCCCCAGCAGCATCACCTCGTTGTGCTTGGTGAAGTAGTTGTTGGAGATGGTGACGGCGGTGGACGCCTCCACCACGTCCACCAGCCCGTCTTTGCAGTTGGAGAGCCAGTTGTGGTCGATCCAGATGTGGCTGGACGAGAATATGGAGATGGCGTCCCCGTCCGACACTCCCCGGAAGCCGTAGTGGCTCCACGAGCTGCGGATGTTGGTGTTGCCCCCTGGCACGCAGTCGTGGATCGACACGCCGTGGATGATGATGTTGGTGACGTCCTGGACGGTGACGCAGCCCGCCCCGGTGATGTGCACGTCGGCGCCGCGGCCGTCGATGGTCTTGAAGCTGGTCATGATCAGCTCCCCCTTCAGGGTTATGGTCATGTCCTTCTCGAACACGATCCACGTCGGACCGTCTTCGAGGACGGCGTGCCGTAGGGTCCCCGGTTTCGGGTTCACCAGATCGGCGTCCCCGTTGTCTGTCACCACGTATATCTTCCCGCCCTTGCCTCCCTTTGCATCCTTCCCGAAGCCGATGGCACAGTCGGCCAGCCGGAAGCGGTTGTCCGCCCAGTTGGGATCCCCGCGCCAGCACCCGTCGATCGGGTTCGGTGTTCCTGCCCCTCCCAATTTCCTCCTCCGTGTAGCATTTCGGATGCTCCTGCAATCATAATGTCCGTCACACCAATAGCAAAATTAAAATCTCAAATGCAGATACATAATCCCGTCTACACTCAAAATAAAAAAGTGAAATTTGCCACTAAAACATACTCCCTCCGTCCTATATCTTTCTTCCCGTTGCGCAAAACGAAAAAAAAAATCTCAAGTTTTTTCAATCTATTTTATTTAAATATTGGTATAGAAATAAAAAATAAAACATACATATTTAAAAACTACATCAAAAGTTCAACAAAACAAGTGGTGACAGGAATATTTTATTTTATCATATAGGCCATGAAAAAAAACACAAATAAATATAAATTCCCGTGAAGTTGGAATAGTGCTCTGGGAAGAAAGTTTTAGAACGGAGGGAGTAAATCATTTCCCAATGTAGGACTTAAACTTTTTTATTTCCTAAATAAGACTTAATAATGACTAGTGAGAAGAATAATGTCCAAGTGATGCTGGACATTTAGTTGAATAATAACTAATAGATAATGACCAATGCTCCTACATTGGGAAATAAAAACATATGGTCCTATATTGAGAAAGTCATTATGTTTCAGTCCTATTTAGGTAAATTTATTATAGTTTTAGTTAAGGGAGGGAGTATATATGATTTTGCTTCGTAATACAAAATAAGTCGTTTTTAGATCATATTGGAGGGGTGAAATCCCGAGCCTCAAGAGGTAGAGGTCACTCTCCTAAGCACACCTCTCGGCCAGGAACAACCAAGCTTGTCTTTAGTCTCAAGAGAGGCCAGGGCACAAAATGTGCCTTTAGTCATGGTGGGAAATGAGTACGTATTATTTTATCAAATGATCGGGACAAAATACATACTCCTTTGATCAATACTGAGACAAAGAAAGTATGTTAATATATACGAAGATTTTTTACTCACTGGTGAACCATTTCTACAATCGTCTCCGGATCGTCCACGGCATGCGGGTGCCTGCGGGGCGTGTCCTCCCCCGCCATTAGCAACTCGTTCTTTGAGCTCCGAAATCTCGCAGCATCGGCGCTGCAAAAAAAAGAAACTCATTGTGGATTGATTATATGTATATGAATGAATGAATGAATGAATATTTTAAAAATATTTACATGTGGGTGAAATGGAGAGACAAAAGCACTAGTAGTAGTAGAGCCAACAAGGAAGAAGAGAGAACACCGGGTGATTTAGTTGCAGAGGCGGCCGCCATTGCATTAATGTGTATGGATGGTTAAGGAGGGGTGATCAAAGCATTCTATTTATAATGGTAAGAGAGAGGTCCTATGATATTTGGGACTTTGGGTTCATCACTAAGAATCATTTGTCAAAAATACTCGTTTTAATTGACTTTTTCGAATCAAATTTGATGATAAAATTTACAGAATTATCATTATTTGAGAATATCAATTTTCAGTTTTTAATTATTTCAAACCACTTTATTCTTTTTTAGTGCGGTTCACAAACGTCAAATTTTTTAAATTTTGTGACATTTTTGTTTGTGACTATAACATTTCTCCGGGGTAGTTCTATAGTGGACTTAAGGTTCACATAGACTTTCTCACATATTTTTTTTTCAATTTTAAAAATACTTATTTTAACAGTTGAAAATGCTTAGTTGACACATATGAAGATTCACCATATATAGATCTTAGGTGCATGTAATAATTTGACTTCTGTCGTGAAGATAAACTTCAGTCATTTAAATTTGTATTGAATGTTAATACAATGAGATAATTCGATGGTCATATTTTATCTACTTTGACTTGAAAAAAACAATTTGGCCAAGCTAATACTGATTTCTAATTATTATTTATTTCAATACTTCGTATCAATTATTAAATAAAATTAATAAAAAAATCCTTAAAATTTTACTTTATTTTATATAATGTGATGTTGATTGTACAACACAGGGCGTATTTGTTCATTATAACTTATTTTTCGATAGATTGAGGATTGAATAATGCCAACTTCTATAATACGGTCATACGGAGTATCAACTATCAAGTATCAACATTCATTTGACTTTTGAATTGATATATCACAAAATTCATACTCCATACGTTTGGAAAAATCGTTCCCATTTAAATTTGACCAAAATACAAATTAAGAAAATGTTAAATTGTACGGAGTAATTAACTTCCAATTTTATCTTTGAGATGATGAGTAAAGTAAGATATGATGGATAGATTATTAGAGAAAAATATGATGTGATAGGTAGGATAAGAAAGAGCAGGGGTAAAAATGGTTCTTTAATAAAAAGTGAAAATGTTTTGATAGAAGAGAAAAAAATGAAAGATGAATTACTCCCTCCATCCTAAAATTAATTTCCCATTTTGACTTTCGCAGTCAAAGTTTTTAAACTTTGACTGCATATTACGAAAAAAATATATTGAATTTTCATATAAATTTAGTATCAATAGATTCATTTTGAAACATAGTTTTGAAATATAATATTTTGATAATATATATTCATATAAAAATGGAGATATTAATGGTCAAAGTCTCGCATTGGAGACCGTGAAAAGTCAAATGAGAAGTTAATTTTAGGACGGAGGGAGTATTTTTGTGAACGGAGGGAGTAAAACTTTTATTCACATTGGATCATAAACAAGGTAATAAGCAAGGGGTGAAAACTGATTAAAATTTACGGAGTCTTTACTGAAACAAATATGAGTGCATCAACTCTTTTTTTTTTGCCTTTTTAACTAAAAGCAGCATTAAAATTTACGGGGTCTACTAAAACTGACCACTTGAAGTGTAATATAATGTGAAAAGGCGGACCAAGATTTCGCAAAAGAAAAAAAAATGGATAAAAAAAATTTCCTAAGAAGACAACAAAATATAAAATGTCAAAAGGTTTTTAGGCTTTATGAAATAAGAGGCATATATTATTGACTCTCCATTCTCATAATCTCATTGAAACTTTTAGCCAAGATTAGTGCTTAAAACATAACTTTAATTCTTATATTCTCTTATTAAATTATAAGAGTACTCTCATCTATAGCACCCATATTTATTTATTTATTTATTTTGCGTCGAAACTCATTAGTGCAGTATTTTTTCATTTTTATAATTAATCTCAAGCTCTTAAATGCATGATAAATGTTCGAATACTAGATGCGAATACTAGATGCTTTCTTGCCACTAGCTAGGAGAAGTTTGAGTGGCTTTCTTGCCACTAGCTACTCCAACATACATGCTTTCCACATAGCATCAAACCATGTTTGCAATTTCAGACACATAGTTATTTTTATAAAATACTCTTGTGGTCTCGGATTAATGTTATTCCACATATATGATGGGAAAAGATTATTTTTAAGAAAAATACTAATTGTACAGTTGAGTGTAATGCATATGAGAAAAAATGATGCAAACAAGATATGGAGTATTCCCTATGTCCACATAAGTGAACTTCACTTTTGTTATTCACAAGCTCAAATAATTTATTTACTTATTTACTAATTTACATTAATAATGTTTGGAAATAACGCTTCCGATTCTTGTTATTGTCTTGAATACTCACTCCATTTGAAAAAACAACTCCACCGTCATTTAATTTTTTGTGCATCCCACAAAATACTTCTGTCACACCTAAAATGTCTAAAATATCTTTAAAATAACTACTTCTACTCGTAATAAAGGGGAAATAAGGTGTATTTTAGACATTTTATATATAGAGAAAGCTAAGAAGTATTTTATAGGACGCGTAAAAAATGAAGATGAAATTATTTTTGAAACAAAGGGAGTATATTTTGATTCTGCATTAAATTTAAAAATGGTAGTTGTTTAAAAAATGATAACTCTAATATATAATGATATTACCAAACAGAAAATAAAAACTCCAAATTCATTTCAACCTTGCATCAGGTAATTTTTATCAATCATCTTTTGATTTTCGGTAATTTTCTTAAATCCTGTTAAATCAATATCAAAATGTCTAATTGCTTTTAGAGGATGGAGATAATATTTTGTTCGTATGTTGACATCATTATTGAATAATACTGGTATTACTTCAGATTGTCTTTATGAAACAACTTCTTGTAAAAGGAAAGAATATATTTAGCATATATTCTCGTATATATTAGTAGTTTCCTTGTATTAGTAGTTTACTTGTATAGGGATTTCCTTTCCTTGTTTGAGTGAGGATTCTCGGCTTGTGAGAATCTATATATACGTGCCTTGGTTGTAAATTGTAATCATCAGAAATATGAGAGAAATTTCTCCCAAATAATTCTTTCATGGTATCAGAGCCTAAAACCTAAAATTTCCGCAGCCACTGTTCTTGATCGACCGGCATCGCGTCCATCGCTCAAAAACCTGCTGCTGCCGCCAGACGCCGGAACGGTCGACCGTTAGTGAAGAACGGTCGAGGTCATCGACCGTCCCGACGACAGTTGTTCTTAATCGTCGCTGCGATTTTGCCCTACTTTTGATCAGACATCTGGTATGTCCGAGGAGGTGAACATGAAGATTATTTCCAACAAAAAGAACGAGGAACGAGAAGAAGAGGAAGTTGGGGTGCGACGCCGACGCATCTCTCCATACGATTTGTCCCCGAGCGACAATCCGGGTATGATTTTGACCCATGTTGTTCTGAAAGGGGATAATTATGATGAATGGTCCAAATCTCTGCGTTTGGCTCTTCGAGCACGCAAGAAGTTTGGATTTGTTGATGGAACAATCGAGATGCCTGATCCCGAATCGGATGATTTTGATGATGTTACGGGACTATTACTATTATTATTATATTATTATTATTATTATTATTATTATTATTATTATTATTATTATTATTATAGGTAAGGAATTATTTATAGTTAGATAATTATTATTAGAGAATATTATTTTTGTTAGGTTATTAATTAGTTTCTTATTTTATTTAGTTTCCTTTTAGAGATTGGATTCCCTTAGGCTTTTAGAGTTTCACTCTATATATTGAGATGTATTGCTTTAGAATTAAATCAATAAAGAACAATCATTTTCCAACCCTAATCTCTTCCTCTTATCTCTCGTTCTTCTCTTCCGCCAAACTAAGTGTCGCGGCTCTCTCCCTCTTCTCGTCTCTTTTTCTCTTGGAGCTTGAAGACGCTCGAAGTTCTTCCCTATCCCGATACGATATCGTATCAATTGGTGCTTTCATTGTTGAACTCACCAAAAAAACCAAAAAAAAAAAATAATCCAGATCCAAATTGAGATTTGTAGTCGCCAAACCAATTTATCCAAAGAAGAGCCTATAGATAAATATTTGCATAACGAGATTTGCAAAAAAATCCAAAGAGCCTATATATCAAGGTTTTCAAAGAAGAGCCTATATACACCAATTTGTAGACTTGTGTCGCCCAGTATCATAATACAAAAAAAAGAGCTGCTACATTGACTTGCTTCATAGCAGCGCCCAAAGGTATTTTTGAGTGATATTTTTGTGTGTTGGTGTTTATTTTGGCAATGGACTCACTTTTGGACAAAGTTCTTGATTCACTCGAGAAAGTTCTACGGGGACAAATTGAATTTTATGAAGGAGTGTGTGCAGTTGAAGATTCCGTGGATGAGATTATAAAGAAACTTCAGGCATTCCGTCAAATTGAAGGTCAACCAAAATATGATTTCGAGGTATATGCGTTTTCCGTAGAGGCCTATTGTTCAATACAAAATTTAGTCTGTGGTCTCCCAATTATGCCGAGCCTGATTCCTATAGAGTTATATATTTTCAAAACAACCATGATGCGCTCTATAAGGAAACTCATTGGCACTCCCCGAGATTTGGCCCCTGCAGTAGCTGTGCAGAACACAACTTTGCAGGACCAGGAATTTAAAAAGGAAATTTTTATTAATCCTATTGGTGTTCCCGATGATGATCTTATTATTGATCCCATAGATGTTGTTCCTGTTACCGTTGATGATGTTGTTGTTGATGATGTTTCTGGTGACGATCAACAAGACCACACTGTCCAAGCAGAATATTCCAGAGATAGTGTCATTTTTTATGAATGCACAGAAACATTTGGGACGTCAGGAAGTGACGTTGTTGTCCTTTATGATTCTGGGGATGTCAAGCGTGATGGCATGATTTTCTTCTTATTGGTTCTCTGGAGTTGTTTGCTTGGCGTTGTTAATGCTTTGAGCTTGACCGATTCTTTTGATGCTCCATTCATAAAGGTCTTTGACCCCGGGGGATGTCTGTTCACAACGCATGATTCCTCGTTTATTCTAGATTTCCAACTTGAGGACAAGTTAGTTTTCGAGACGGGGAGAGTGTTACGGGACTATTACTATTATTATATTATTATTATTATTATTATTATTATTGTAGGTAAGGAATTATTTATAGTTAGATAATTATTATTAGAGAATATTATTTTTGTTAGGTTATTAATTAGTTTCTTATTTTATTTAGTTTCCTTTTAGAGATTGGATTCCCTTAGGCTTTTAGAGTTTCACTCTATATATTGAGATGTATTGCTTTAGAATTAAATCAATAAAGAACAATCATTTTCCAACCCTAATCTCTTCCTCTTATCTCTCGTTCTTCTCTTCCGCTGAACAAAGTGTCGCGGTTCTCTCCCTCTTCTAGTCTCTTTTTCTCTTGGAGCTTGAAGAACGCTCGAAGTTCTTCCCTATCCCGATACGATA